TTTTATTTCTGGGATGACTTCATATTTTGGTGTACATGAAGGTGATGGGCGAGAGCCAGCTCCTGCTTATCGAGGAACATCTTGGGTATCTTCCGCCCTGGTACTCGTATCCACGTCTTCTCTCTGGGCAGCGAAAACTTTGCTGATATGTGACTCGGTCGAAGTGACTTTTTTGCCCCCCCCCCTGTATAGCATCCTGCTAGCATTTCAGACCGAGTACCAAATTATCGGGCCATATGACCTTCAAGTAGGCATAAGTTAATATGGATTGAGACCTTAAAATAAGCACATAAGCCTGGCGAAAACGATTCTGAATTCAATTAATTTGTTTCAAGCTTTGATCAACTTATTGGTGAGGTGCTCAGCAAAATACAGTTCGACGAACCAGCTGCTTTCCCATTCCTCATTTGGTATGCGAGGAAGCATCCTTTTTCTCCAAGGTTGTGTGAGTTCTAATCTGTATGTTAACGTTTTCGCGAAAATGTTCTTCTGGAAGTATATTTTAGTGGGACTCACGGAACCAACGGTGCTAATACCAAATGTTTACGATCGAAATTATCTACAACTTCGGTTAACTGAAGGAATTTGTGAGTATATAAGCGGTGACGAACAACGGTATGTGTAAACTTTCTTTGTGGCCGGAGTATGTGAGCAGTCGCTGATAGCCCATTCGCAGTAGTTATTCGCGTAATGTACCGTGCCGTCAACCTCAATCCTAAAAATATTACACTTTCTAGTCTCTCAACAGACACCGCAGGGCTCTGATTTTGAGTTAAAGACAAATTGCACACCTCGAGAGCGTCGTTGCCATGTGCGAGGTAAATGGGTCCGCGAAATGCAGTGCATTCCGCCTTCTTCGCACAAAAAAAGCACGGGAATGGGCTGCAATTCAGTGAACACTCGGAAGCCGTCTTCATACTCCGTCCGCGTTGCCGCACGCCTAACCACAGCCAGACGCGCCACTCGTCTCCCTCTCATTTCTGATTGTTCTTTGGCGCTGAATCGTGTGTCGTTGCAGGATCTTGTTATTGATGACGTCCTGCACATTGACGATAGCGCGGGCGGAGTATGGAGACGACTGTCGGGTACCACTACCCCAGAGCTCCTTTTCCTGCGCTTTTTGAGCGGAAAAAGTGGGCACGCCACTACAGCCGCTGACCCATTTGCCTCGCACATGGCACGGACCGTCCTTGGAGACGAGTGTACAGTTTGACTTCAAGTCCATGAACTGTGCCGGCCTACCTTCCTCATCTGTCGCCCTAGTTAGGAGCTTGGCAATGGCTTCGCTTAGTACTGAAAATCGCAGTAATTGAAGCGATTGACA